GCCGCTTTTGTAGAGCATGCGTGTCTTCTCGTGGGAGTATGCTTTGCGCGAGCTCCATCGAAGGCCCGCTTATGCTTACGCAGAGCCCCAAAAGGGCCCGCAGGGCCTAGAGGCACCATGGATGATGATGATGATGATGATGATGATGATGATGATGATGATGATGCTGATGATGATGATGATGATGATGATGATGATGATGATGATGATGATGTGACATGGAAAGACCATGCGATGCGTTCCCTACCCTGCCCTACCCCTACAACATGGGGAAAACACTGACTCAAACGATGCTTCAGTGAGCTTTGCCTGGTCACTGCCCCAAAATACTACGGCAAGTTCTACAAGAAGTGATGAGCATGTTCCTGTTATTGTATCCAAGGCTTGGGAATATGCGTTTGTGTTCACATGAAATGCTTTGTTTCCCTCATACCCTAAAGCAGACAATAATGGCGTGGTTGACTGCTCAGCGCTGACGGATCACGGTTCGTTGATCATGCTGGCTACGTGCGTGCGAGACGCATCATGCTCCCCCATCCAACGGCGCACGCCCTCAACTCCTACACTTGCCTGAGATGCCCTGAGCTCAAGCTACCTCATGAAGCCCTGGCCCCCAAGCTTTAATCTTCAAACCATCAAAACAAGATTTCACGGAGCTTGCACCCGTCCGCAAGGCCATGCGCTTCATGTTCACCCAGGAGGAGCTGGAGCTCCTGGATGGCCATCCTGCCGAAGACCCGGACGAGGCGCGCGACCTCCCAGGGTTGGGTCCCTTTGTTTCCCCCTGGTTGGGAAGTAGGGGACCCTATATGAGCATATATATATATATATATAGATATACCCTTTAAAGGGGATTCTATGGGGTACGTCATTCCCGCATTCCCTACTAAGAACCAGCCAGTTTTGAGGGGCTCAGAGCAGGCTTGGGGCTTTCCAGCTCGTGTAAAAGCGGCTAGCACCCTGAAGGTACTTGGGGGCCCTTTTTCGGTAGGGCTCTAGAAGTGTGCTTCCGTCACGGTTTAGGGTTTAGGGTTTAGGGTTTAGGGTTTAGGGTTTAGGGTTTAGGGTTTAGGGTTTAGGGTTTAGGGTTTAGGGTTTAGGGTTTAGGGTTTGAGGTTTAGGGTTTACGGTTTAGGGTTTAGGGTTTGGGGTTTGGGGTTTACGGATGCTCAGGGTTGAGGGTTTAGGGTAACTCCTACCTGGAGCCGCCCCAATGCACAGGCGTCGATGGTCGAGCAGGTCGAGCAGCCCGACATCCTGAACTTGGAGCCGGTGAAGGCTCACGGGACCAGAGCAGGGGGCAGAAGGAGCCCTAAAACCCAAAACCCAAAACCCAAAACCCAAACCCCAAGCCCTAAACCCTAAACCCTAAACCCCAAACCCTAAACGGGGGAGGTCTCGCGGGAGGTCCCTTTCGGTTTCTTCTTTTGGGGGGGGTGGGGGCGTCCAGGGCTTTAGGGTTGAGGGTTTAGGGTTTGGGGTTTAGGGTTTAGGGTTTAGGGCTTAGAGGGTTTAGGGTTTAGGATTTCAGTGCAAGCCTCTGGCTCCTCAAGCTTCGACATGACCCGAAGAGGAGTCCCAGGAGGCTGCCGCGGAGGCGCCGGAGGCTGGTGCAGTTGCACATTGGCTTAGGGTTCAGGGTTTAGGGTTTAGGGTTTAGGGTTTGGGGTTTAGGGTTTAGGGTTTAGGGCTTAGGGTTTAGGGTTTAGGGTTTAGGGTTTAGGGTGTTGCACCACAGGACTTGGGGTTTCAAGGGCTGAGATGTTTAGAGGCGCCTGCGGGGTGCTTTGGAAGTTGGGGGGGCTCAAGGGATTCAGGTTCCGAAGGAGCAGTGGCTCCGGGTTTTGGGTGCAGCTTCGGACTTCCTTGACTTTGTCATAGTTGGGTACCATTTTACATTTTTAAGGGTACTTAAACCCAATCAGGAAAAATATTTAAATTTTCAATATCATGCCAGCCATGAACTAGTTGACCACTCTTGTTCCCGGCTTCTTGGGCTTCGCCTTTGTGGGCTTTGAGATGGTTTGAAGACGTCTGGGCAGTTCACGCCTGTCTGGGTGGGGTGGGAGACTTCGCAGAGTTTGCACAGACTGCTCCAAGCCCCTGTTTTGAGAAGGAGCCCGAGAGCAAGTTGTGAGCCAATTTTCAAGTGCCCAAGTCTTTGAGATTGTGTCGGCATGCCACCAAGCACGCGCCTCCAAAGGGGTAGAGCTTGGGACTGTGAATGAAGCACGTGCCGACAAAATTTTCTAAGGCCTTGGAATTGCCAAGGTCTGCTGGGGAATCAGGGCGACTTCAAGGGTTCCCGAGGGGCTATGCCGCATTGTGGTGCAAGCTTGGTAGTTTGGACAAAGACCAGCACCTGGGATTGCGACACAGCTTTGACGAAGGCCTGAAGAGTTGTCGATGATTCCCTGGTCCGTTTCGTCAAAACCCGGCACATTGGATCGGGACACGGTTTTGGCCGAAGGACTTCCCAAAGGGCTCAAGTCCGTAGCGGCAGAATGTTTCTAGATTGAAGCCGAGCCACACGGCAGGCGACCGTCTTGGGACATAGTTGAGGCAGCACGTGTGGTGATCGCATTTGAAACCTGTGCTCCCTTCACGCGGATGCCGTGTAGCTGGTGGCTTCTAGTGCAGCCAGAAGAGAGCAGCAGCTTGGCGTTGTTGCCTTCGCCTTCTGGCACGACGCCCAGGGGCCTACATGCTAGGACCTTTGGGGCGTCATACCCTGGCGTCATACCCAGGCGTCATACCATACTTTCAGTTCTTGCAAGGGTGAAAAATTTGCTGCGGAAGCCTCGTATGGGTCGTGGTGCCGCTTTAGGGTTTCTTTGCTTTCAGATGGAGAAGGATTTCTTTATAGATGTATGCTGCAAGTCGAGAGGGTTTAGGGCTTAGGGCTTAGGGCTTAGGGTTTAGGGTTTAGGGTTTAGGGTTTAGGGTTTAGGGTTTAGGGTTTAGGGATTAGGGTTTAGGGATTTTTGCAGATTGCCTTCCACTTGTCAACAACCCCTGGCAAGAAGGCTTCAGGAAGAAAGCAATGCAACCACCGATCAGAAGGCATCAAAACCATTCAACATCAAGACCTGTCCGACTGAAGTGGAGGAGGTTGAAGCATCAAAGTCTAAACCCTAAAACCTAAACCCTAAACCCTAAACCCTAAACCCTACACCGCGTAGGCTGAAAGCAGAAGGGCGACACCTACTTGACATGGTTACCGGGGCTGTACGGCGGAGGTAGGCTGATGTGCGTAGGACACGGGAGCATCCGGCAAGTCATACCGTTTTCTTGCATCACCTGGTCTGTCCGACTGGGAACATTGTTGCTGCAGTAGGTATGTTATCGTTGTCCTTCTCTGCCGTCGAAGCAGTCCGGTTCTGAGTCGCCCTTTAGAGGTGATGATGTCCCTTATACTAGCGGTTTTTTGTATCGAATATAGTAGGTGGTGCCACAATCCCTACTACGGACTGTCAGTGTAAGGGGAACGTCCCCAAGCGGTGAACCTCTGTTTACGAGACCACGGAACGCGTGCCCGGGATCGTTTTGTGGCATTGCGGCATTGGGAGCCATATGCAAACAGGCTCACATGGCAAAACTGCTGTCGACTTCCTGCAGCCTTGTGCCACGTGTCAGCTTGTGACGGCATCTGCGTGTAATATGACCCCTTAACCCTCCTAAACCCTAAGCCCTAAGCCCTAAGCCCTAAACCCTAAACCCTAAAACCCTAAACCCTAAACCCTAAATGAATCCATGTATGCAGCCATGTATGCAGCCACGTATCACCCGAGACCTGTAGCTCGCAGAGTGACATGCGTCCATGTTCGAACCCCAGGTGCCCCCAAATGCAATCTGAAAATCCCACTCACACCCGTATCTATCCAAGTGCCATAGCCCAAAACCGGAATGGGGGTCTTGTAGAATTTGGTTCAGGGTTTGGGTTAAGGTGGTTGTTATCTTCCAGTCAGTAATGCTACCCGGCCTCACCCCCTCAATCCCAACATTCCAAACCCAATATTCCACCTTAGGCCAGGATTCGTGGAGTTACAGTAGACTCCAGAAAGTTGGAACATGGGTCAATTCGTGAAAATTTAAAACTCAACGGCAATCTAGAATTAACCGGGTCAACAGGTGATATTCAACTGCCAGTAGCGGAGATGGATATGTTTAACAACTCGGGAGATGCCAATTATAATTTGAGAACTAGAGGCACTCAGGGAGTATCTGAATTCAGAGGCCGAAATTTTAGATGTATGAACCCAAGTAATCCAGCAGATGGAACAGAAATGATAGTACACGACGCAGGAGGCGATTCTGTTTAAGAACAGGAAGCACAAGCACAGCGACGGTCGGAATAGGGAGACAGTATAACTTTTCATATTTTTCAGTAGGCGGAACGAGTAATTTTAATGAAGCCCGAATTGAATAATATTTTAACTCTTGGGGGAACAATTAGTAAGTACTGACGCCCGTATTTTTCAAAGAGCAGACGTTAAGAAGGCATTAAATGTAATATCACCCGAGGAAATCAACTTGTCATTACAAGCAAGTCGAACAACCGACCCAACTACTGGAACTATAGCACTTCAGTAAAATGACACTAACGGCATTGCATTAAACAGACCTGTCACAAAATAGTTTGACTTTTAATAGCACTGGTAATGTCGTTGGCGAGGTGGATGTCATTAGTTGGGGTAAATTTAATTTACAGAATAGCGGTGAAATTAGAGAAGTACTAGACACACCTTATACAAACAACCTCAACACGAAAAGTCACAAACGCGCGCCAGTATTATTTGCAAAAGCTAAACGATGCAGACTTAAGAAATCCTGATTCTGTGGGAATTGCTTCCCCCCAAAATGGCCTTGAACCCTAAACCCTAAACCCCAAACCCTAAACCCTAAATCCCTCCCCATGTGAGACCTGAGTCTTAGGCACTTGTAGCGGGGGCAAAGCGAGAGGGTTTTGCCTGCGGAAGCTCGCGCAAGCTCTGGCCCGGATGGAAGGCGCTGGGCTCAGGAAGATGTAGATCTAGGGTTTAGGGTTTAGGGTTTAGGGTTTAGGGTTTAGGGTTTAGGGTTTAGGGTCTGGGGTTTGGGGTCTAGGGTTTGGGGTCAAGGGTTTGGGGTTTAGGGTTTCAGGCTTGGGGTTTGCGGTTTAGGAACCACAGGGGGTAGTTGTAATTGCGGGACCTAAACCCTAACCCTAAACCCCCTAAACCCCCTAAACCCCCTAAACCCCCTAAACACCCTAAACCCCCTAAACCCCCTAAATCCCCTAAACCCGATAAACCTCCTATCCCCTCAACCCCCCTAAACCCCCTAACCCCCTAAACCCCCTAAACCCCTAAACCCCCTAAGCCCCCTAAGCCCCCTAAGCCCCCTAAGCCCCCTAAACCCTAAAACCTAAACCCTAAGCCCCAAACCCTAAACTCCTTAAACCCTAAGCCCCTCACCCTGTCCCATCCCCCGTTCATCTAAGGGTAGTTGCATGGTCCCTTAGTCGGGACCCCTTATATACCCCCTTATATCCCCTATACAAATAAGGGCCTTGGAATTGAGAAAGTGTTGCCCTACTCATGACCCTCCTTGTAAGTACCCCTGAACCGACACCATACCAGGCCACCACTTGGAGAGTGACATCAGAACCGAGGTGAGGGACCACCTTCAGAGCCCATGCAACTACCCCTAAGCCCTAAACCCTAAATCCTAAACCCCATGAAATTACCCTTAGAGTTCAGGTGCAGATCCGGTCTCCTATGAGTCGGTGCTGGCCAAGTGCTCGGTCAGCGCGTGAGGATTTTTGGGGTGGATCCTTGTGGGTGTTAGGGTTTAGGGTTTAGGGCTTAGGGTTTGGGGTTTAGGGTCGAGGGTTTAGGATTCAGGATGCGTCGTGGATTCGTGCCACAAAGAGAAGGCTCCGTATGATGATATGTACTCAAAAAAGACACCCTGCACTTAATTTGGAGAGCGCCCCTTTCTGGCATGCAATATTCGTACATTGGGGAGACGCTTTTTGATGGAGGTGTCCCGTTTTTGCGCTTACATGGGGATTCAGGTGGTCCTTGTGGGGATTCCGGAAAGAGGGGGGGGATTTCCTTCAAGCTACGATGGGAGGTATCGCCCTGGCCTATCTTCAGTTAGTTCCGGGCAGCCGTGTTCAGATCTGGTTCCTGCCGTCCACGGTCTCGAAAGCGTGGGACAAGGGCTGGGTGGATGGATCTGCGTGAATTGAGAGTAGGATAACTGTAATCATTCGGAACCAGCGTGCGCATGGTTTCATGGCGTTCGGGTAGTTCCTTAGGGATCCTTAGGGGAACGCGTTCGTTGCAGGGTTGCCACGTTTCGTTGTACTCATTTGGGTGTAGAGATCGGGGGTGAGACGGAATCCCACAGTTTATGGTCACAGGCACACAGATTGAACACTAAGGCCCCGCTTGCCTCAATTTTGGCTACAGTCCTAAGCCTTAAGCCCTAAGCCCTAAGCCCTAAGCCCTAAGCCCTAAGCCCTAAGCCCTAAGCCCTAAGCCCTATAAGCCCTAAACCCCAAGCCCTAAACCCTAAACTCTAAACCCTAAACCCTAAACCCTAAACACCCTAAACCCTAAACCCTTCCTGAACGCTGGCCGCACACCCTCAAGCCCAAAAGTCCTTGCCCGCCCGAGGCCCAGAATGTCCAGCTGAAGCTCGACTTGCAGCGCCGGCCTCAGTCAACGTTTTTGTTAGGGTTTAGGGTTTAGGGTTTAGGGTTCAGGGTTTAGGGTTTAGGGTTTAGGGTTTAGGGTTTAGGGTGTTATGTGGAATGCCGCCCGGGTCACTCTGGTCCCCTTCCCTAAAGCGCAAGCCCTCTATGCCTCTCGGACCTCAGCCTCGTTGAACGTAAACGTGCCGCAACCACTGCAGACACAACAACAGCAACAGCAACGGCAACGGCAACAGCACCAGCACCAGCAACAACAGCAGCAGCAGCAGCAGCAGCAGCAGCAGCAGCAGCAGCAGCAGCAGCAGCAGCAGCAGCAGCAGCAGCAGCAGAATAAGAATAATAAGAACAAGAAGAAGATGAAGAAGAATAAGAATAATAAGAATAAGAATAGGAGGAAGAAGAAGAATAATAACAATAATAATAAGAAGAAGAATAAGAAGAATAATAAGCAGAGGAACAAGAAGAATAGTAATAAGAAGAACATAAAAATCAGGATCTGAGTAAGAATAAGAAGAACAAAACACCAACCAACCAAGCAAGCGAACAACCCACTAGCCCACTCCACCACCCACTCACACACCTACTCGGCTTTGAGGGCAGCGAATTCCTTTTGTTGTGGGGGGGGTTCAGGGCTTGAAAAACCTAAACCCGAAACCTTAAAGTCTGAACCCTTTTGAGACACCCCCGAAGCCCGAAACCCTCTAGACCCTCTACACCCTAAAGCTCCAAGCTTCTACCCGCAAGCTCCCCAAGCCCTGAGCCCTGAAATCTCGAACCCTACCCTCAACCCTAAGCCGTACACTCTAAACCCTACACCTATACCCCTTGTGCCCTGACCCACCTCAAGCCTTGGTACCATCCTTCCCTACTCCCCAAAACCGCGCCTCTGGCGGAGGAGCGCGATCTCGGAGCTTTCTCGGAAGCAGGACCTCAGCTGCCTCCTACAGTTTGGGGCTTCGGGTTCTCCGTCTTTTCAGCCTGAAGCCCGAAGCCCGAAGCCCTAAGCCCTAAGCCCTAAACCCTAAGCCCTAAGCCCTAAACCCTAAGCCCCCAAACCCTAAACCCTTAAACCCCGGGCTTTCTTGCGGTGCCTTCGGGAGCCCAGGGTTGCCAAGCCCACATGTCGTTGGTACTTGAAGGTTGTCTGTGTGGGAGGCGTAGAGTAGAATCCGAATGCAGCTGCACCTCTACTTGCATGAACCCTAAACCCTAACCCTAAACCCTAAACCCCAAACCCTTTAGGTCCATGAGCGCGGCTTTGCGGCTTCTAGGGTTTTCGTTTCACAAAGGTACGTTGCGGGGCCCCACGTTTTTGCATGTTTGTTTGGCGGGGCGCAGTGCCCATGTGGGAGAAAAATCCCCTCCCCTCCTCTCAAGGGAAGAACCCGAGCCCTCTACTGCCTGCCCCCCTTTCCCTTATCCCCAGCATGGGAGCCTGGCACCCCACCAGCCCTCTTGCAAGCTAGAAGGGAAAGTAAATATAACTTCTCAGGGAGTCAAATCTAAAATCTGTGTCTTCAGTACGTACAGCACGCGGCTGACAACATGTATGCCCCCGAGAACCGCCTCTCGCGGCGAACCCATGCCAAGCAAGCCATCCACTACGAGTACCGCCTTAGACTGCGGCGTGTTCCTGGACAAATCAGAGCTCCACAAATCCGTCTAGCTGGCCTGGAACGTGGCTAACGTACATTTTCAGGAAATGGAGCGCAAAGGCTGCTTCCTGCCTGACATATGGAAACGCGTCGTCAATAAGAAAATTAGGCACACGATCGGCGACAGTGTTGTCGGCAGCTGCAGCGACGTGTCGCAGTGTGCACGTGGGAAAAGGTTCTTTTGTCTCAGACGGGGCTCTCGTTGACGAGGCCCTATATCCTGAGGAAAAGCTTTCCGCGTTCTCTTCCAAGGGCCTGACGGCCGCGGTGTATCCTCGGCATCCTGAACACCCTCCTCCACGCGTGGACGTGGGCTCGCAGCACCTGTTGCACTGCTCAGTTAGCTCGGGCACTTGAGCTTTATCTCCTCAGCCTGCCAGCGGCTCAGAAATGCAAGATTTCACCCAGCCCGCCCGCCCGGGGCGATCACATCTTCGCCTTGGTATATCTTACCCTTGGGGAAAACAGAGTCCGCGGCAGCTTACATCTGCGTTCAAGTAGGGCTAATGAAGAGAATACGAATGCATTTCATGGTTAATTAGAAAAAGTGAGTTCGCGATAATAACTAGTACACGGTTCTTGTTGCGTTCATTCTATTCTTATTGCGGCGCTCATAATTTAATACTGAACTTCTAGGCCGCTATAAAACCAATGCATGAATAACGGCCTTTAGAAATTATAGAACGAAGTGAATGAATTTATGAAAGTAAAATTTGCTACTTCGTTGGCTTCTTCATTAAGTTTTAGAGGACATAGGCGGGAGAAATGCGGGGTGCTCGAAGTAGTCCATGGGAACGGCCACAAGCTGCCATGTGCCATGACGTAGAGGGAGGGAGAGAGAGAGAGAGAGAGCGAGAGAGCGAGAGAGAGAGAGAGATTCCAACGCAGAGACAGAGCGTGTGAGTTTATCGTTTCTAGCCTACGAAGACCGTTGTGCGCCATGCCAAGATCACGCAACTTCCACAAGCACTCAGCTTCCAGAAGCATTTGTCACCACTGCGTTCGTTAAGCATTTGTCACCGCTGCGTTAGTTCGAGTTCTCCACGCATACAAAAACCGAGAAAAATCGACAATATGAGGTTGCGAAACATGGGACCCCACAGCGTTCCACCCTCCAAAATTTCGGGTTTGGGGCTTTGAACCCTAAGCCCTAAAACCCTAAACCCTAAACCCTAAACTCTAAACCCTAAGCCCTAACTTGTAAGTTGGCCAAGTTTTCGGGATTCCGGGGCTGCAGCTGTTTGCTGTCGACCGTTTGGAGGGTAACTTCATGAGTCCAGACCGACCGACTTCGGGTATAGGGTTTAGGGTTTAGGGTTTCGGGTTTAGGGTTTAGGGTTTCGGGTTTATGGATTAGGGCCCCAAACCCTGACCCGAACATTCTCGATGAGGGCTTACGGTCTGTATTGCGTTGTCAGAATCCTGGCCTCTCCGGCGAGGGGGGCACAAGCACCCCACACTCAGATCCCGAAGCAAATAGGATTTGGGTTTACGGTTTTGGGGTTGCTACGGTTGGGTGACGCCTTCACATCCTGCTCAAAGGCAGCTTGAGCCAAGCATAACAACACAAGCTTGCATCTTCTTGCGGTGTATCCGACATGAACCCATGTTGCGCACACCGCCACCCTTCAGGTGCCGCCTGAAGTCCCAGGGTGTAGGGTTTAGGGGTCCCTTAGAGACTTCGAGGCATCTTTCTGCAAAACGTTGTAAACCAAAGCCCCCCGACAAAACTCCACGGAGTCCTCCGCCAATGCTTTCCGTGCCGCCGTCCTTGAAATCTCTGCCGACGCCGCCGCGGTGCGGCGACGCGCCGCGTGGCGCCGTGCCACCGCGGGCGCTGGTGTCGGCGCGGTTTGGGGGGGGGGGGGGGGTGTAAAATAGGAGTCGGAAGCAATTGCTCATAGTGCTCCCTTATGGTCCCTATATAGTTATACTTGAAAAAACCAGTTCGAAAGCATGATTGTCAATTCAAACCTTGGTGTCCCTAAGTGCAGTTGTTAAACCCTAAACCCTAAACCCTAAACCCTAAACCCTAAACCCTAAACCCTAAACCCTAAACCCCGGAAACGCTGGGTTGCGAGAGGTGGAGGACCGAAGCTTCAGTCTTGGGATGCTGCCTTGGTGGTTGGGGCCCAGCACCTGTCAAGGGCTTCTAATTCCCAAGACTTAGGGTTTAGGGTTTAGGGTTTAGGGTTTAGGGTTTAGGGTTTAGGGTTTAGGGTTTAGGGTTTAGGGTTTAGGGTTTAGGGTCACTTCCTTAAATTATGGTCCCTGTTTGGGTACCCGAAATAAGAGGGGCCGCCTTCTCAGAAGCCGAAAGGACCATGTAATGAACCCTGAATGTCAGGGGCTACTATCGTAGCAGGTTTCCGAGCGAAGAAACCTTAAACCCTAAACCCAAAACCCTACACCCTAAAGCCTAAAGCCTAAAGCCTAAACCCTAAACCCTAAACCCTAAACCCTAAACCCTAAACCCTAACCCTAAACCCTAAACCCTAAACCCTAAACCCTAAACCCTAAACCCTAAACCCTAAACCCTAAACCCTAAACCCTAAACCCTAAACCCTAAACCCTGAACCCAAGTTAGGGAACCTGCGCAGAGGTAGCTTGTGAAGTCTGAATCTCGTAGGCACACCTAGGTCCCCAGCCAAGACCATAAACCCTAAACCCTACAAGCCCAAACCCGAAACCCTAAACCCCAAACCCTAAACCCTAAACCCTAAGCCCAACTGTAAACCCTACGAACCCTACACCTTAAACCACCTGTCAACCTTAAACCCACAGCCCTTTAACCTCGCACAGGTCCTCTTGGGGGGCGCGGCCGTCCCTGCGCTGGCAAGCTACCGAAGGCCTGGCTACACTTTAGGGTGTAGGGTTGAGGGTTTAGGGTTCAGGGTTTAGGGTTAGGGTTTAGGGTTTAGGGTTTAGGGTTTAGGGTTTAGGGTTTAGGGTTTAGGGTCTAAGGTTTAGGGCTCCGGTAGTTGCGGGGACGATAACATGTTATGGGTATAGGGTGTAGGGTCAGGGTACCAAACCCTAAACCCCAAGCTCTAAACCTTAAACCCTAAGCCCTAAACCCCAAACCCTTAAACCCTAAGCCCTAAACCCTAAACCCTAAACCCTAAACCCCAAACCCCTAAACCCTAAACCCTAAACCTTAGACCCTACTGTGAACCCTAAACAGGTGTGAGAGGTCAGCTTTTGGGGCTTTGAGGCCAGGGCTTAGGGGGTTTCAGGAGGTAGGGGCACCAGGGTAGAGGCTGTTCAGGGAGGGTTTACAGTTTAGGGTTTAGGGTTTATGCAAACAGTCACTCGGACGGTCTCGAAGCATCCACTTGGAGACTGAACTACAGAATAAATTACGACTTGGTAGGGTTTAGGGTTTAGGGTTTAGGGTTTAGGGTTTAGGGTTTAGGGTTTAGGGCCAGGGCACTGGTTTCAGGAACATCCTGTGAGGTTTGGGGTTTAGGGTTTTGGGGGTTCCACAAGTGGGGCCGGGAGGAGGCGGGGGGTTAGCACTTAGTGGCTCTTAGGGAATCGAGCTGGCCAGAGCTCAGCAAGACGAAAAGCTGTGTGGTGCATATGCCCGGTAGCGATCAGCAACCCACAGCAGTTCCGAGAAGACCTGCACCCCACGCGGGTTATTAGCCGTATCTCTTTCGAGGTTCGGCTCGCACTGAGCGATGACATGTCCAAAAACAGGATACTATGCGTTTAGACATGTCTAACTGGATACTCCTTTCAGACATGTAGCCAGCCCGAAAGCCGAAACCCTTTCTCCTTCGCCCCTGCCTCGGCGTCGCAAGGTCTCGGCCATCCGTGCCCTGGCTGATACTCCAAAACCCCGGGTTTAGGGTTCAGAGTTTAGGGTTTAGGGTTTAGGGGTGAGGATTGAGGGTTTAGGGTTTAGGGGTGAGGGTTGAGGGTTTAGGGTTTAGGTTTAGGTAAACCCTAAACCCTCAGTCTTTCTTCTTAACGGTTGCGTTTGGTGTGGAAGCTTGGGTTTCTCTCGTTGCCTTTAGATGCTCTCCGAGCCCCCCCAGCGCTTGAAACCCGAATCCTAAGCCCCAGACCCCAGCTTCCATCTCGCGCATCTGACTGTTCGGCTTGTGCTACACAAACAGGGCATAGACAACCGTGCATAGGCGACATGTGCTTCGAATCGTCTTCTTTCAGCTGCTTGTGTCATTCTGTCTCTCAACCCGGCGTCAGAACCGCCGACCCGAAACAGCCCCAAGCAGCAGCAATCTGCGTTGTGCGCCATGGGGTGC